TTTTTATTTATTTATTTGCTTTTTGGGTCACACCCAGCAATGCACAGGGGTTACTCCTGGCTCATGCATTCAGGAATTACTCCAGGCGGTGCTCAGGGGACCATATGGGAGGGTACCATATTGCACCGGGTTGGCCGCGTGCAAGGCAAATGCCCTACCCTGTGTGCTATCACTCCAGCCCAAGATGGATGTTTTTAAATTGTGTATATACATCGTATGTGTGTGTGTGTGTGTGTGTGTGTGTTGTGTTTAGCATGTCCCAGATGTGGAGAAGTGTTTCATGGGCCACTAATTTCTAGAATGCATAAAATACTTTCAATAAAAGCCCTTCTTGGACCACCAAGTAAAGGATGCTAGGAGGGCCCACTCGGGATGAGAGATGCGGGCTAAAAGTAGACTATAGACCGAACATGATGGCCACTTAATACCTCTACTGCAAACCGCAACACCCAAAAGCAGAGAGAGAGCAAAAGGGAATGCCCTGCCACAGAGGCGGGGTGAAGTGGAGGGGATGGGGTGGGGGTGGTGGGAATGATGCTGGGACCATTGGTGGTGGAAAATGGGAACTGGTGGAGGGATGGGTACTCGCCCATTGTATGACTGAAATGTAAGCATCAAAGTTTGTAAGTCTGTAACTGTACCTCACAGTGATTCACTAATAAAAAATTTATTATTATTATTATTATTTTACTAATACTTTTTTTAAAAAAGCCCTTCTCCCTGAACTTTTTTCATATTCAGGGATAAAGGATTTTTATTGCATGGTACTTATGTGAAGAAAATCCCAACGGTGGTATGAAATCAAGACTCACACTTTTCTGCTTCGATGTTTAGACTCCATATCTCATCTGTCCATTAGCTACGGTAACTTAGGAAAAGAGACACATGAAGGTAAGCAACCCGCAAAAATTACCAGAGATTTCCACTGGAATATTTGGGGTGCGGGCGTGCCATACCTGGAAGTGCTCAGGGCTTACTCCCGGCCTAGGCTCCAGGCAGGGCTTTAGGGACCAACTGGGTGCTGGGTATTCCCACTGGGAGTCCTTAGGAAAAGGCAAGTGCCTTAAGGCCTGAACTACCTCTTCTGCGACGCCACCAAGAACCTTAAGTGACACAAAGGAGATGTGCGGGGAAGCATCAGCCAGCATAGGCCTGGGCTGCTCAATAGATTGTTCCACCCACTCAGGCCAAGGGCTGATCCTAGAACAACCTGTCCTTCTGGAGTAAGTGATACTATCCTCTACTTTTTCAGAGGAAGAAGGCAGATGGGCCTTCTGGGCCAGCCCTAGCCCATCCCGAGAGTGGTGAGTTGAAGGGAAGTATAGGACACACTACTCTCAAGACTCACAGGAACAGCGCTGTCTTCTCTGCTGGACGAGACACAGTGCCTCTGTTGGAACCCCGAATCAGAAGCTTTTCAAAGGTTTTACCTTTCCCTAATCTATATGGCATAGTCTATGTAATGTATATTCACAGCTCAGAGAATGACCGAAATTTTTATAATAAAGAAAAATAGGATAATATTATGTATATTTGCATGATTCATATCCAAATGAATTCACAGTCCCTGATGAAAGTGCAGTGGGATGCCTATGTCTGCAGTCAGAGTTGGCTGATAGGTTACCACAGTAACAGGCACCTGTGGAGAGTGACCACCCTCCTGCTCACAGTGGCTCTGGGTGACAGGTTAACAAGGTAACAGGCATCTGTGGAGTGACCACTCTCCTGCCCACTGTGGCTCTGGGTAACAGGTTACCATAGTAACAGACCCCTATGGAGAGGGACAAACCTCCTGCCCACTGTGGCTCTGGGTGACCGGTTACCACATAACAGGCACCTATGGAGAGTGACCACCATCCTGCCCACGTGGCTCTGGGTGACAGGTTACCATGGTAACAGACACCTGTGGAGAGTGACCAACCATCCTGCCCACTGTGGCTCTGGGTGACAGATTACCATGAATAACAGGCCCCTGAGGATAGTGACCACCCTCTTGCCCACTGTGGCTCTGGGTGCAGGTACCATGGTAACTAACAGGCCCCTGTGGAGAGTGACCACCCTCCTGCCCACTGTGGCCCTGGTGGAAAGAGAGCTGGGCCTGGCTACCTGAGGATGATCTGTGTGACTGTCACAGCTGAGAGGAAGATACTTTCCACGCTTTCTGCAGCTTTCTACCCAGTGCAGGGGGAAACCACGGGTTCCTCGCTGGGATCTGAGGTTCCACACCTGTTCCCCACCACACTGTTTGCTCAGCCTCAGCTTGCTCATTTCCAGAACTGGGTTATCACCCACTTCCAGGCATTTACCTGAAAAATGCAAACATGAACTTCAAGAGATAAACCCATTCCTTATTAACTGCAGCACTATTTATAATAGTTAATAAGTGGAAACAACCTGAGGAACTACTGATAGACAAACGGATACAAATGATGAGGAACATACATACACAGTGACAGGTGACTCCACTACAAACTCCTCCCATTGTTCATCGATTTGCTTGAGCGGACCCAGTAACGTCTCCATTTTGAGACTTGTTACTGTGTTTGGCATATCGAATACGTCACGGGGAGCTTGCCAGGCTTTGCCGTGTGGGTGAGATACTCTCGGTGGCTTGCCGGGTTCTCCGAGAGGGGTGGAGGAATCGAACCCGGCTTGGCCGGGCTGGCTGTGCACAAGGCAAACGCCCTACCGCTGTGCTATTGCTCCAGCCCTAGACCAAGATGAAACCCTGCCATTTGCAACCACATGGATGCATCTAGAAGGTGTTGGGCTTAAGCCAGACATTAGAAGACACGCTCCCTATGGCTTCACTCATGTGTACAATGTCGAGAAAACAAAACACAACTAAGGTAAACAACATGTGGTGCACAGCTTTTGCACTCTGATGCCAATAGAGGTTACCAGAGGTGAGGAGAAGAGGTATATTAAGAGAAAGCTGGGGCCCATGTCGATTTGCAGCGAACACCTGAAACTTGAGTAATGTTATAATGTAATATTAATGCACTAACAATAAAATAAAGGACATGTGTACATAATTTTTTTCCACTCTGCCCCCACTCCTCCTGTGTGTATGTAATTTTTAAGGTCATTGGGAGGGTTTGAATGTGTTCACAGGAATGCAGCGCTTCCTAAAGCAGAGTGGGGACTGAATGGGCTCACGCCAGGTAACCCAACTCCTGGTGTGTTGTGTAAACAGCGCCACTCTTTTATATTCAGTGCTGTACACCGAGCTATGGAGCCCACGGAATCCCACGGTGAGCCACCTAAGCCCTCAAAGTCCTTCGCCTTAACCTAGAAATCAGGTCTCTGAGAAGCGAAGTGACCGGTCAGTAAGCAGAAAACTCAGGCCTCATACCCAGGAGCAGCCCGGATCTTTGCCGCGTTTATTCATTCCACACCCGTTCGCTGAGAACACGAGCCTGGATCTTTGCCGCATTCATTCATTCCACACCCGTTCGCTGAGCACCCGAGCGTTGGCACCCCGTGACACGCTCAGGGAGCGCTCACAGTGGTTCCTGCAGGTCCTTGGGAGGTATATCATTTTCTACTTTTGCTCAGGGGCGCCTTGTGATAAATCACACATTCCCTGAATGCTGATTCACATGGAACTCTTCTCCTAGCACATCCACAAACATGACAGTTCTTGCATCTCACTCAGCAGCGCCACGCCCTTGGGGGTGCAGTTGGCTGGGCACGGGGGGCAGAGATCTCCTCACTGTGCCCTCACTAATCTCCAGCCGCCACTGAGTGCCTCTAATGCTGCGGGCTCCTCTTTGCTCCGGATTTAATCCTTGCAGCTGCTCCAGGAGATGCGACAGGTGTTAGGATCTGGTTTATACCCGCAGCAGAACCCAGGTCTAAACCAGATTCCTTCTGAGGGCACCAGGTCAAAAATATTTGATGTGCCCATGAATTTAGAGAGGGGCAGAGCTGGGATTTGAGAACTGGCAATCTGTCAGGCCTGAGAGTTTGCTTCGGGTTATATTTTTTTCTACTTTCGCTCAAGAGAATTGTGCTTCCATGAGTTAAAAGGGGCTGAATAGAGATAGCAGATGAGTTAAGTGAAACTCATGCATAGGCCAACCTTGGTTTGATCCCTGACATCTCCTGGGCCCTAAGCATCATTGGGTCCAGCTCCAAAAGTCTTCGAGCACTGCTGGGTGTGGCCTGGGGACCCCCACAAGAGAGGAGACCCAGGTAATCTCTGGCGACTTGAGGCTGAGTAGCACCCAATTCTTTGTTTTTTGTTTTTTTAAATTTTTATTAGTGGAACACCAAGAGGTACAGTTGCAGACTTACAAATTTTTGTGCTTGAGTTTCAGTTATACAATGATTAAGTACCCATCCCTCCACCAGTGCCCATTCTCCACCACCAACGATCCCAGCATTCCTCCTACCCCCCATCCCCCCATCCCACCCGCCTCTGTGGTAGGGCATTCCCTTTTGTGCTCTCTCTCTCCTTTTGAGCACCCAATTCTTGGGCACTTGCATTGAACCAACTGTCTGAGAATCATGGGGAGGGGGTCCCCATGTTTCCAAAGCACTGGTTGGGAGGACCCCTCATAATAAAATCACTCATGTAACACACTCCCAGACTGTATCAATGCCTTCAATGACTCCAGATCTTACTGTCTTTGGATGGGCTGTGGTGGGGGTGGGGGGAGGAGCTGGGGGTGGGGGAGGCTTCCCTTTCCTGCATAAAAAAGACCCAGAAGTCCCTTGGGTGAGCTTGCCTCAGCACCCAGCAGGATGCAGGAAATGTGAGGTCGGAGAGATAGTTCAGCAGGGAGGGCGCTTGCCTTCAGGTAGCCGACCTGGGTTTGGTCCCCCAAGCACAGCCAGGAGTGATTTCTGAGAACAGAGCCAAGAGTAACCCCGGAACATCACCAGGTGCCACTCCCCCTCCACTCCAAAGTACACGCAAGGGACGTCTGAGAAAGGAGAGACAGAAATGAAACGAAAGCAGAGGGGCAAGAACGGGGGCCGCGGAAAGGGCTCACCCTCTGCAGCTTCCTTCTCTCGGCCTCCACCGAGGAGCGCACAGACTTGATTTCCAGCGTGTGCTTCTTGACCAGCTCCTCCAGGCGCCGCACCAGCTGCTCCCGGAGACGCTCCTTCTCCTCCTCCGTCTGCTGCTTAATCTTGCGCAGGTCTTCTTGGTACTGCTGCTTCGCGGACTCCGTCCTCACAGCTGCCTCGTCCTGGGCCTGTGCAAGCAGAGAGTCTTGTCAAGCTGCCGGGGTGAGGCCGAGCCTCGCAAGCTCTCCGCGGCGCTGCTTTTACTGTGTCTATATTCCGCATTTACAGCTGAGACGGCAAGGTGCAATAAAGTTTATGAGACCGTATATTTGATATTTGTACGAGACTCCCCATTAGCTGCCCTCACTCGGGGGAGGGGGCAGGGGAGCGGGAATCTGAGGCCACAGTCTAAGTTCCCAAGAGTCAGGGAGAAGAAAAGGGGCAGGTTTTGGCATGATTCTTCCTACGTCCAACTCCCCAATCACCAGACGGGCAAGAGGAGACTAGCCCTGCACTCCCACACGTCCTCTGGAGGCCCCAGAGCTTGGCTTCCCAAAGATCCCGTGTGGTTGGGGACTGGCCTCTCCCAGAGAAAAAGCACCGGGCAGCGAGGCTGGCCACCCTCAGACACTCACCCCCTGCCCTTCGGGGTCTCCTTTCACACATGAACACTCTGGCAGGAAGCTGGGATCCTGCTGAGGAGGGGGGCTGCCGGGTTCTGCGTCATTGGCTTCTCCCAGGACTTCATGCTCGGGGAACAGCTGTGTCTTCGTGTCATCTGCAAGCAGAAGCTGAATTATACTTTGCCATCCCCCTGGCCATGGTCTGGCGCCTGAGAGCTGGGCCCCCATCCTGAGACGGGGCAACTCCTTCCCACCATCCCCGCGTAGTCAATACTCCTGTCAGGCCCCAAGCATGACCCAGGTGGCCATCTTCGGTGCGAGATAGTCCAGGGCTTAAGGTGCTTGCCTGGGTCTATCCCAGCACCATGTACGATCTCCAGAGCAACAGCCCAGGGCCACTTAGAACCAGGAAGGGCCCCTAAGAGTCACTGTGGGTGCTGCCCCAACTGCCCACTCCCCCAGATGGTGGCCATTCTTGTTAAAAAAAAAAAAAAAACCTTGAGTTCAAGCAGTTGCCCTGCTCTTTTCCCCTCAAGCAAAGGAGTTTTTCTTATTTTGGGGATTATGCCTTCCTTGGGTTAACAAGATGAAACATTCAGGTCCAGGATGTGGCTTAGTGGTAGAGCACATACATGTCTTGCATGTGTGAGGTCTTGGGTTTGATTCCCAGAAACACACACACAGAGAGAGAGAGAGAGAGAGAGAGAGAGAGAGAGAGAGAGAAAGAGAGAATCCATCCATTCAGTAGGAGGCATGACAGGAATACAAAGAGTGAGAAGAGAATATATATATCAATGGGGCTGGAGTGATAGCACAGCGGGGAGGGCATCTGCTTTGCACACAGCCAACCCGGGTTCAATTCCCAGCATCCCATAAGCTAAGCACCGCCAGGAGTAATTCCTGAGTGCATAAGCCAGGAGTGACCCCTGTGTATCGCTGGGTGTGACCCAAAAAGGGAAAAAAAGAGAATATGTATCAAGCGGAACGGCTCATTTTCTCCCCTCATTGCCTAGGCACCTGTACGCTATTTCTGATTTGCTGCACCAGACCCTCTGCACAGTACTGCTTACCCGACTGTTCTCCAGACCGTGGTGACCCCTTCTGTCCTGAACATTTTAATCCCTGCTGTGAGACCCACACCCGAGATAGCAGAGTGTACCCAGGGGCTGCAGAATGGAGAGACAATACGGTGGGTACACCTGCATTGCACACGACCCACCTCAGCTCAACCCCAGCCCCCCAGAGACCCCCTGGGTCCCTCCAGGAATGACCCCTGAGCAGAGAACCAGAAGGACGCCCTGAGCACTGCCACATGGGGCTTATGTTTGTGTCTTTGCTATTGCTCCTGGGGTCGAGCTGGTCTCACTGTGGGCGCATGCTTGCGTGGAAAGCACCTCGGGTTAGAGATTCTTAGAACCAAGCACAGGCTCTTGAGCTAACTGACTCTCAATGAAGAACCACTTTATCTTCCTCAGCCTCGTCTCTCTTTTATAATTTAGGGGAGGAGGGTTTGGGGCCCCGCCCAGTAGTGCTCAAGAACAGCTCCAGGCTCTGTGCACAGGGAACACTCCTGGCGGTGCTCAGGGGACCATATGGGGTGCCAGGGTTCAAAGCAGGGTCAGCCACAAGCAAGGCAAGTGCCTTGACCACTGGAGTATGTCTCTACCCTTAGCCTCATTTCCTAGCCTGTAACCCAGAGTCCAGGGGCACACCAGCCTCAGAAGGTTATTGGCCCGGCCAGTCCTCTTCGCTGGTACAATACAGCTTTGTGGAGCCAAAGAGACAGTCCAGCGGGAAGGGCACTTGCCCTGCATGCAGTCGAATTGAGTTCAATTCCTAGCATCCCATGTGGTCCCTTGAGCCCACTAGGAGTAATTCCTGAGTGCAGAGCCAGAAGTAAGCCCTGAGCACCAGTGGGTGTGCCCCCGCCCCCAAACAAACAATCAACCCCAAAGTAAGAATAGAGCTTTGTTCAGGGTGCGGGAAGTTGGGGCACAGTGGGATGGGTGGAGTGATGGGCAGAGGAGCTTCTGCACCCTGCCTTTCAGCCCTATGATGTCAGCTCACCCCACCAGCAAGGTCAAATGTCACAGCCTTGGCCCTCGCAGCCCCCACGCCACCCCGGACTCCGTTCCCCATGACCTGAGGTGGCAGCCTTCACCAGCCCGGTATGAAAGGTCCACGGGCAAGGACGGGGGCGGGCGTCGCACCTGATTTCTGGGTCACGTGACACTCCCGCAGCATCAGCCTGTCTTTGGCCACTGCCAGCTTCTCCCCGAGTTTCTTGGCGGTGCTCTTCAACTCGGAATTCTCCTGCCGAGCCTCCTTGAGCTGCACATCCAGGTCCTACACAGACAGGGATCTATTTCAGCCCTGCAGAGAGACTGCCCGGGACCCAGAACCACCAGCAGCCCCGAGCGGTCTCAGCTCATCAGAGCCACGGCTACAGCTCTGATGGACTGGACAAGGGGTGTCACCTCCCAGGATTGAGCATTCACAAGGCAGAAGCCAAGTGCTGGAAGAGCATGAGGAGAATCAGTTGCTGCTTTTGACAGAGATGTGGCCCCGAGAGCCTGTTGGGGCTCGGGAATTCGGTGTCCCTCCCGCTCCCAGGAAGTCTCAAGCAGTTTCTCCCATTTTGTTTTGTTTGGGGGCCACACCCAGCAGTACTCAGGGCTTACTCCTGACTCTGACCTTAGGGATCACACCCGGAAGGGCTCGGGGAACCCTATGAGGTACTGAGGATTGAACCCAGGTCAGTTGCGTGCAGGGCAAGCGCCCTCCCGCTGTACTATCACTCCAGCCCAGTCTTGAAGGGTTCAGAACAGGGAAGTTGTGGACAACCAGTATGGGCTTTGGAATGAGACTGACCCAAGTTTGAAATGCTATCTTTATGTCACATGTGGCCAGTTCTTTTTTTTTTCTACATTGGGGGGCATACAGCCTTTAGTATTCGGGGGTAAGTGTTGGCAGGGCTCGAAAACCATGTTCTGTCCAAGATTTAATTGAAGTGGCCAGTTCTTAATGCTCTCAATTTCTCTCATCTTCTCAGGTGTTAACTGTGAAAGTTTCGGGGGCTGGAGAGACAGCACAGGGGGTAGGGCGTTTGCCTTGCTCGTGGCCGACTGCGGCTCGATTCCCAGCATCCCATATGGTCCCCTGAGCACCGACAGGAGTAACTCCTGAGTGCAGAGCCAGGAGCAACCCCTATGCATCGCCAGGTGTGACCCGCAAAGCAAAAAATCAATTTTAAAAAACAAACAAAAAACTGAAAGTTTCTAACAGGTTCCTTGAGGCCAGGCATCGCGTGTAGCTCACAGCGTGTGTATCCTGCACAGAGCCTGGCCTGGCGCATCGTAAGTGCTCAATAAACACTCGCCAGATGCCTGCCAGGGAACGCCACGGAAAGGCGTGAACGCATAGAGAGGCCAAGGGCTTTGCACCAGGTAGGCGCTCGCCTGACACAGAGCAGGTGCTCGCCGTCCGTCCGGGGTCCTGCTCATGACCCCCCGCCCCACCCCCTCCAAAACGGGCGTGGAGACCAGGCGCTGTTACCTGGATCCGGTCCTTCAGCTTCTGCGCGTACTTCTTCAGGTCGCTGATCTTGCGGCCGCGGTGCTCCAGGTCGCCTTCCAGCTTCCGCACCTGCGCCTGCAGCGCCGTCTCCTGCACCTGGAAGTTCCTGCGGAGGTCGGTCTCCTTCTCCTGCCACTGCCACAGCGCCTCGCTCACCGACTGCTGCATGGCCCGGCGGATGGCCTCGTTCTCGCGCTCGTAGGTGGCCTGCAGCTCCTCGGCCTTGCGCGCGTAGTCCCTGCTCAGCTGCTGGTTCTCGCCCCGCAGGCGCTCCACCTCCTGCAGCACCTCGCGCATCCCCGGGTCGTCGCGGCCCGGCTCGGCCTGCGGCTCGGGGCTCTCCTGCGACGGGCGGCCGCCCCACGGCGGGGGCTCGGGGCCGCCCAGGGGCCGCCGCCGCTTCTCCAGGTCGGCCTTGAGCTGCAGCATCTCCTGCGAGAGCGCGAGCACCCGCTCGGCGTGCTCGGCCTCGGCCCGCAGCTCGCGCTCGTGGCTCTGCAGGCGGCACGAGGCCGACTGCGCCAGCGCCTCCTGCGTGCGGCGCGTCTGCAGTTCCAGCGCGCTCTCCAGCGCCCGCACGCGCTCCCGCAGCGCCGCCTCGCCCGCGCCCTCGGCGCGCTGCAGCTCGTCCTGGTGCGCCTCCCGCAGCGCCTCCAGGCTGGCCTCCGCCTCGTCCTGCCGCGTGTTCAGGGCGTAGATCACCTGCGGGTGGGCGGGCGGGTCAGCGGGACTGGGCCGGCGCGGGGGAGGGCGGGGGTGCCAGGGGCTGCCCGCGAGCGATCGGGGTGGCTCGGCCCGACCCCACGCAGTGGAGGAGCTGCCCTCGACGGGTGGACCCGGGGGCGGGGCGCGCGCGGAAAAAAACGGTCTGGAGGGCTGGGTGCGGGACGGGACGGGGTGCGGGGGCAGGGGGACAACCTCCCGGGACGCGTACTGTAGTGCCCGGGAGGGGGAGCCGGTGGGGAGAGAGACAGGGCCTATCTCACACTGTCTGTGTCAGACGGACACAGAGACACAGAGAAGAGGGAGATACACAGAGACAGAAAGAGACAGAGACACAGAGACAGAGACAAGGACAGCAAGGAATAAAGCAGGGTCAGCCGTGTGCAAGATAAGAGCCCTCCCTGCTTACTGCGGCTCCAGCTCCAGGAAGCTCTTACCCAGCATCAAGCAACTCCAGGTGCCCAGGAGCAAGCAGACACGAAGCACAAATCCCACCACTCCAGCACAGAGAGGCAAAGTCTCGCGTGCCAGCCGTTCTCAGGGTAAATAGTCTCAGTCATGATAAGTCTCTTTTTGAAACACCAGAGGAGTTTTATTTTATTTTGGACCACGTCCAGCAATGCTCAGTGGTCACTCCTGGCTCTGCACTTAGGAATTCCTTCTAATGGTGCTCAGGAGACCATATAGCATTACGGGGATTGAACCTGGGTTGGCCACATGCAAGGCAAATGCCTAACCGGCTGTACTATCGCTTGGGCCCCAAGTTAAATCTCTTCTGCACACCTAAGTTTCCAACTAATTGGAGGAAAACCGACCCCACTCCTTTAATTGTCATGCTTGCCATGAGCAAATCATAATATATGGGATTTTTCTCACTTGATCACTTGATATCTCATTACTCATTGATTTGCTCGAGGGGGTGCCAGTAACATCTCCACTTGTTCCTGTCACGTGCTAGTGTAGCCCAATGGTGTCTGCTGGCTACAGGAGCATGAAGAGCTTCAAATTGTTTGTTTAGGGTCTTGATGAAGAAGTCTGACCATCTTGTAGATGGGGCCACGTGTTCTTTTGATGTCACGTGGAATCCAGTCGGTAACGGCTCTAGTCCAGCGGTCGTCTTCAAATCGCATTACATGTCCAGCCCATCTGATTTTCAATGCCTTGGCAAACAAGACAGCGTCCCTGATTTTTGATCGTCAACGAAGGTCGGAACTCCGGATTCCTTCTCTCACTTGAGTGAAGAGTGATACTCCTAGCATAGTTCTTTCAATTCCTCTTGGGGTGACCCAAATAGCATTCTCATCCTGTTTGCGTAGGGCCCAAGTCTCTGAGGCATATGTTAGTGCAGCAAGAACAGTGGAATTAAAGAGGTGTGCCCAGCGCCATAGGTTCTTTGTCCTCTTAGCTATTTCTTCGACGCTCTTGAAGGCATTTCATGCTGTTCTCTTCCTCCTGCACAGCTCAAGTACAGGTCATTCATCATGTTGAGTTCTCGACCTTGAGATACATACTTCTGCATTCAGAGATGTTCATTTTATTGAGAGCAAATGGAACGTCAGGAACTAACCCGTTTTTCATAAACATATTTTCACACTCACAGTCGAAGTCAGCCAGCATTTGTGTTGCTTGGCTAATGTTTGGTGTTATTAGAACAATGTCATCAGTGAAGCAGAGGTGGTATAGTCGCCGTCTATCTTTATTCACATTCCTTCCCATTCCAGTCGTCGCATGACGTTCTCGAGGGTGGCACTAAAGAGTTTCGGTGAAATGGTATTGCCCTGCCGAACCCCTCTCTTAACATCGATGATCACTTCCTTGTAGAATGGTGAGATCCTGGTGGTGAATCCATAATATAACTCATGGAGGATCCTGATGTACTGGATTTGAATGCCCTATTTGGCTAGACCGCTTCAGTCTCAACAGAATCAAGGGCCTTCTTTAAATTGATGAACGGTAGACAGAGCGGCATCTTGAACTCCTGAGAAACCTCAATGTATTTGGTCACCATGTGGATATGGTCAATCGTGCTGAATCCTTCTCGGAACCCAGCTTGTTCATATGTTTGTCCTTCATCTAGTGTTCAGTCAATCCTATTCAGGATGACTAGAGTGAACAGCTTGTAGATGCCGGACAACAGGCAGGTCAGGTGATAGCTGTCAATGTCGTGGATGTCTCCCTTCTTGTACAGTAGAACGGTCCTGCTGGTTTTCCATTGGGACAAAACCTTGCACTCATACAGGTAGCGTGTGAAGAGCCAAACCAGTGTATTGACAAGTACTGACGGCAGATTCTTCAGGTATTTGGGTCTGAACTTGTCTGGGCTGGGTGCTGTTTGCTTCTTTACCAATAAAATGGCGTGTAGGATTTCGGAAGGTAGAACATTGGGAACGACATATCCATCATGCGGAATTTGGTACGTGGGCAGGTGGACGTGGCTATCGAAGAGATCTGAGTAGATATCCAAGTCATGGATAATCTTCTCCACTGCCCTTCTGGAAGATGTGATAGATCTATCAGGATGTTGGAGGGCAGTCATCTTGGTCTTGTAGTTCGCAAAGGATAGGCGGACGTTGTGAATGCTTTTCCTGGTTTCTGCCACATAGTTCATCACTGCTGCTCTTGTCTCTTTGAAGTCTTCCTTTATCGCTTCTCTGCACTGCTTTGTGAGCTCGGATGTTAGCTTGTGATTGCCTGAGGCTCGCACCAAGCCACGTTGGCAAATGAGCTTGAGAGTTTCTGAAGACAGGCATCTTTTTGTGGCTTTCTCTCTCGGCATTCCTCGCACAATCATGGAGATGCCGAACCAGTTGATCGTGTTCCTCATTGATGTCATCAATAACTTCATCTTCTCATGTTACCCCAATAGTGCCAAAGAGCTCCCAGTTGGTGGTCGTTCTCGGAGTTCTCTTCTTAAACTTTGCAGCCTTTTCTCCTCACTCCGTGACGGAGAATTTTGCACGAAGGAGACAGTGGTCCGATTCTGTTTGGAATTTTGGGACAATAGTGACATCGGTCAGGCAAAACCGTTGATTGAATATAATGTGGTCAATTTCATTGTGGAACTGTCCACCGGGAGACTCCCATGTCTCCAATGTTTAGATTTGGCCTTCTGGAACTGTGAGTTACCATGGATGGTATTGGTCGACATGATGAACTCAGACAATCTCTCATCCTGTTCGTTCCATTCTAGGTCATGGGTCCCGATGTGGATTTCTTTGGCTGATCTTCTCGGTCCTATCTTGGCATTAAAATCACCGACAATGATCTTGTAGAAGCTGTGTTCTTTATAGACCTTCTCCAGCTCCTTGTAGAATTTCTCAATTTCCTCTTCATTGTAGTTGGATGTTGGTGCATAGACGATGAAGATAGTAACTGCCAGCAGTGAGCCACACCTACTCAAGCATAATCGTCCGATTTGGGTTGTTAGGCATTCAAGTGAATCAATGCTCATGGTCAAGTTTGTGTTGATGAGACACCGACACCACCAATGCCTCTTTTGTCGAATGTTCTGAGGAGCAGTTCTTCTTCAATGTCAAAAGTGGCGTGATGCAGTTGATGCCTTCTTGTCTCAGTCAGACCAAAGATGTTGTATGTGATCTTCTGTGCTTGCACCATCAGGTCCTTGATGGATGCTTCCAATGTCAGCATACGTGCATTGAAAGTACAGACAGTCGGGGCTGGAGAGATAGCACAGCAGATAGGGCATTTGCCTTGCATGCGATGGACCCGGGTTCGATTCCCAGCATCCCATATGGCTCCCAAGCACGACCAGGAGTAACTCTTGAGTGCAGAGCCAGGAGTAACCCCTGTGCATCACCAGGTGTGACCCAAAAAGCAAAAAAAAAAGTACAGACAGACAGTCATTTTAGTCCTTTGTTTTGGCAGCCTAGTTCGGCCCTGAGATTTTATCAGCCTCTCCTTGCTCATCCTTCTTAACGCTGCCGTATCGGGAGCTTTTTCAGCATCAGGGCAATGAGGACCATTGTTTTTACTGTTTTTGGCATATTGAACACGCCACAGGTAGCTTGCCAACTTCTGTCATGTGGGCGGGATATTCTTGGTAGCTTACTGGGCTCTCTGAGAGGGATGGAGGCTTTTAGGATGGCTTCTAGTCGCCCTTATAGGTGACCCCATGGTAATCTTGGAAGATGGGTATTAAGTGTCTTATGATGTGTTCCACGGATTTTTCTCATGGTGAATAAACAAAGGTTATTCCATGATGTGGGGCACTGGGGTTTCCATCAAGGGTAAAACGAGCCACCAGTGTTGGTGCTTACCTGGGGCTCCTATATTCACCTCTGCTCAGAGAACATAAAACTTAGTTGAAGATGCTTATGGTCTGATGGTTCTGACCAGAATATTCTGCGAACAGGAAACTGCTTCATATGCCAGGCCCACCTGCTGAACCTGTCTGAGCGCCCACTCCCGAGTCTCCTGCCTTGGAAATCCGTCCCCAGGACACCTCCTGAATGGACACAGGTTGGGTCAGCAGGGAGGGTCTCCCACCTTGGGCAGGCATCTCTGAGCCTCGGTGACTCGTGGTGTCTTGCTGCTAATGTTCCCCAACATTGTTTGGCAGGTGAAGCTCTCACTATGAAGAGCTACTTTGCAGGGGACTCAGAATTGCTGTCCACTGACCCTTCTGAAAGATGGGGAAGGGGAGATAATGACCTTCTCTGGGTGCTTACCCCAGGGATAGTGTGTGCATAAGCAAGGGAGTGCTTTTTTTTAAAATGTATGTTTTATTAAGGCACCATGATTTACTGTTAGCCCATGACTCAGTTTCCCGAAATACCACCAATGAGCTGACTCTGATAAATTGATCTTTATAAATTGATCTTTACAAGCATAAATTGATCTTTATTGACTAGCTCGAGCTAGGACTAGCCAGAGCTAGAGCCCCGTTGGGCTCACTGACACAGCACCATGCTCAGAGCTAGCTGCAGAAGCCACAAAAGGCAGAGTTTTGATACGTAAGA